TCCTACTGTAACCTGTGAAACACCTGGTGATGGTGCCTGAACTCTCTGAGATTTGGGTTTAATTTAGCGAGCATGAGCTCCTCCTTCCTGAACAGTCACAAAAAGTGAAATAACTAAAATATTTTAGAGAGACAGAGCTGAATGGGGCCTTGAGAGATTTATTATTCTTCCCAAGTATGATAAAAAAATTCTTATTGATCGATGTGCACGAAACTGATTACTAAAATACCCTCCAACGGTGGATATTCTGCAGCTTCCCCAGGCAGGGTTATACAAACTTCACCACTTATAAGGGTGGGTTTTTTACCTTCATTCCTAATCAGAATCTTGGTAGCTGCAATTTAAAATATTTCTTATCCTCAATGGCAGGAAGAGCTTCTCCCTTCCCTCGAGAGATACATATATATATATATATACACACACAGGAGAGCTTCTCCCTTCCCTCAAGAGATACAGATATATATATATATATATATATATTAATATGTGTGTGTATATATATATAGGTATGTGTATGTGTGTGTCTACACACACACTTCAAAGAAGAAAATGTTCCTTGCCCTTATATATACATATGTATATATGTTTATATTCTGTCAAATATAAACATTATATCATAAATGGTGGGATAAACTATGGGGTATAATTACAAGAAATAGGAGTCAATCAGAAAAGAGGAATGTGTATTCGTGCATTCTATAATTATTGATGTTGTTGATGTTTTTAACGTATCCCTGTATTGCCTAGGAGATTCGGTTGACAAGACAGAACTTCATTTTGTGCTGTGCAAACTCAGATCAAATAAATTCCTGCCATCCTGCTCAGACCTGCATGATAAACATCAGCCCTAGCCACGTGCAAGCAACTTTCAGTTTATCGAGGTGTAAATAGTAATTATGAATATTCAGATGTGCTCACCATCTAGAAAAAAAAACCAAAAAATAAGCTGTTGCCTTTTCAGGTTTTCCTGGGGCTCAGCCTCTCCCTCATAGGCTCACAGCTAACACCTGCAGAACTATTAGCCTCCTTACTCACACTTATTTTCCTTTCCTTCTTCCTGCAAGTGAAAAGCAGGAAGGGCTAATCTATTTGCTGCAGTTCCATGTAAAAAAGCAGGGTGTATGTCCCTAATTCCTACCTTAATTCCTCATCCCCCCTCCAGGGTAAAGCTCTCCATCGCTTCACTCTCTGTAAAACTCACTGAGTGGCCGGGCTTCACATCACAGGAGAGAAAATAAATACAAGTCTCTATATAGCTGGTTTCTAATCAGATCACTTCAGTAATCCAGGACCTCAGCCCACGTCAGGGGAGAGGGGAAAATGTCCAGGAGCAGGGAGGGAATGGCAAGATGCTGAAGGAAACCTCCACTGGGTAAACCACGCCAGAGGTGCAGCATCCAGCCCCCTGGATCTCAGTCACCCCTCAGGCCACCAATCCTTACATGCCAAACTTTCCTACCCAACTACTACTTTCTAAAGGAAGCAGAGATGTTAGGGGAAACAAAGGGGGGGGGGGATTAAAAAAAAATAAAAGAAGAAGAAAAAAGAGTTGTACTAAAAAAAATACAAGTAACGGAAAAGAAATCTCTGCAAGGAAAGGATAAAAAAATAAAAATGGAAGGGATTATTATTTTTCCAGCCACATCCCAGACTTTTTTTTGAGAGAAAGAAAGATGGCAGGCTGTGCAGAGCCAGACTCAGGCCTGTGAACCCTGGGAAGGAACGTGCTGCCACGTAACCACAACGTGTGACTGGGGCCCGTGAGCTGGAGGCGAGGTGAGGTGAGGGAGCTCGAGGCTGAACTCTCCCAAAATCCACCTGCTCTCTGAAGGAGTCATGATTTAAGGCCTGATTTCAAGGTGTGGAGCAACCCTGGCTTCTCACCCAGTCTGTGGGAGAGGTGGATGCTCTGTTGTTGCCCTGTATTTCATTCCCAGGTTGCGAGCCTGGTGGGCCAGGAATTGCCCTTTTCCACCACAAATCCCATCTATAAGCCATGTTTACAGGCCTTAAGTATTTTATTCTAGTCAATGATTTTTTTTATTTTTCCACTACACAGATTTTAGGACATGGTTTAGAGGTGTGCATTAGTTTATTACAATCATTTAATTTAATGATTCGTACAAACTGCTAGGTGTGGCCAAGAGTTTACAAGCACACTAAGATCTCCCTGACTTGATAACTCTAGTCCGAAGCCCTGCCTCTTGCCTAAAACGACCTTATCTTGAGCAAGGTTGGATTAAAGCATATTAACATCTCCTTCCTAAAATACCAGCATACGGAGTTATGGGATTGCATATCAGTATAACCTCTAATTAAAGAAATGAAGTCACTTGTGGTTACGTACAATACAAAGCCAAAACTGTGAAGCAGATGCAACATAAATGGGGAAAAAAAAAAACCCAAACCTCAACAACTTGCTTGGGTTCAAAAACAGTCTAGAATAGCAACAGCTTCAAACAGGACGGGCTCCTTTTCCATCCCGTTGGGATGTCAGCTCTGGAGGGGTGGGCACCTACACCCCGAGACTCCTCTCCATGCGCATGGAGTTCAGTGTGCCCCTTGTCACGCAGGTCTGGGGGGGATGAGGACATGGGAACGGCTCCTGGGGAAGTGGGAGCCTCTCGCTGCTGGTGCTGCTGGTGCTCAGAGGGTGCCAGGGCACAGGCAGGGATGTGGCCAGGGGTGCAGGCAAGGATGCAGGCAGAGGTACAGGCAGGGATGCAGGCAGGGATGCAGGCAGAGATGCAGCCAGGGATGCACCCGGGGGTATAGGAAGAGGTAAAGGCAGGGATGCAGCCAGGGATGCAGCCAGGATGCAGGCAGGGATGCCAGGGTTGCAGGCAGGGATGCAGCCAGCGCTGCACCCAGGGGTATAGGCAGAGATAAAGGCAGGGATGCAGCCAGGGATGCAGCCAGGGATGCCAGGGGTACAGGCAGGGATGCAGCCAGGATGCAGGCAAGGATGCCAGGGGTACAGGAAGGGATGCAGCCAGCGATGCACCCAGGGGTATAGGCAGAGGTAAAGGCAGGGACCAGGGATGCACTCGGGGGTATAGGAAGAGGTAAAGGCAGGGATGCAGCCAGGGATGCAGCCAGGATGCAGGCAGGGATGCCAGGGTTGCAGGCAGGGATGCAGCCAGCGCTGCACCCAGGGGTATAGGCAGAGATAAAGGCAGGGACTACAGGCAGCAATGCAGGCAGGGGTACAGGCAGGGATGCAGCCAGGGGTATAGGCAGAGGTAAAGGCAGGGATGCAGTCAGCCAGGGATGTGCAGCCAGGGATGCCAGGGGTACAGGCAGGGATGCAGCCAGGATGCAGGTAAGGATGCCAGGGGTACAGGCAGGGATGCCAGGGGTGCAGGCAGGGATGCAGCCAGGATGCAGGCAAGGATGCCAGGGATACAGGCAGGGATGCCAGGGGTGCAGGCAGGGATGCAGCCAGGGATGCAGCCCCGAGCTCTGGGCACAGCAGGGCAGGGAAAGACCGGCTGCAGCAACCGGTTCCCCAGCCCAAACCCCCCGCTCCCGAGAGACACGGCCGTGCAGGGGGGTCACCGAGCCGCCCTGGCCCCAGCAGCAGCTCTCCCTGCGGGCCGCCCTCCCCCGGCCCCGCCGCCTCCCACCGAGCCCCCGGGGGCCGCCACGGCGGGGGAGAGAAGCGAGGCCTTCGAGGCGGCTCGGGCAGCCCGCCCGGGGCAGGGCACAGGCAGGGATGTGGCCAGGGGTGCAGGCAAGGATGCAGGCAGAGGTACAGGCAGGGATGCAGGCAGGGATGCAGGCAGAGATGCAGCCAGGGATGCACTCGGGGGTATAGGAAGAGGTAAAGGCAGGGATGCAGCCAGGGATGCAGCCAGGATGCAGGCAGGGATGCCAGGGTTGCAGGCAGGGATGCAGCCAGCGCTGCACCCAGGGGTATAGGCAGAGATAAAGGCAGGGATGCAGCCAGGGATGCAGCCAGGGATGCCAGGGGTACAGGCAGGGATGCAGCCAGGATGCAGGCAAGGATGCCAGGGGTACAGGAAGGGATGCAGCCAGCGATGCACCCAGGGGTATAGGCAGAGGTAAAGGCAGGGGTGCAGGCAGGGATGCAGCCAGGGGTATAGGCAGAGGTAAAGGCAGGGATGCAGTCAGCCAGGGATGTGCAGCCAGGGATGCCAGGGGTACAGGCAGGGATGCAGCCAGGATGCAGGTAAGGATGCCAGGGGTACAGGCAGGGATGCCAGGGGTGCAGGCAGGGATGCAGCCAGGATGCAGGCAAGGATGCCAGGGATACAGGCAGGGATGCCAGGGGTGCAGGCAGGGATGCAGCCAGGGATGCAGCCCCGAGCTCTGGGCACAGCAGGGCAGGGAAAGACCGGCTGCAGCAACCGGTTCCCCAGCCCAAACCCCCCGCTCCCGAGAGACACGGCCGTGCAGGGGGGTCACCGAGCCGCCCTGGCCCCAGCAGCAGCTCTCCCTGCGGGCCGCCCTCCCCCGGCCCCGCCGCCTCCCACCGAGCCCCCGGGGGCCGCCACGGCGGGGGAGAGAAGCGAGGCCTTCGAGGCGGCTCGGGCAGCCCGCCCGGGGTGGGGAAAAACGGCATAAGGAAGGAAAAAGTGACTTTTTGGCCCGGCTGTCCCAAACCCGCCGGTGAGTCAGGGCGGGCGGAGCGGCGGCGGGGCTGCCCGGGGCGGGGCGGGGGGCGGAGCGGAGAGGCGGTGGAGCCGGGAGCTCTGTGGCTCCCCCTGGCGGCGGCGTCGGGAAGCGGCGTCGGAGGGAAGCGGCGGCCGTTGTCACATGTCGGAAAGTCCCCGGCGCTGCCGGTGGAAATCCCCGGTGGGGGTTTTTTTTTGGTGTGTGTGTTGTTGTGTGTGTGTGTGTTTTTTCCTTTTTTTTTTTTTTTTTTTTTTTTTTTAAAAAAAAAAAAAAAAAAAAAAAAAAAAAAAAAAAAAAACTCTTTTCTGTGGCACCCGAGGGGCCCCGGGCTCAGCCCTTCATTCCGCAGCGGCGGCGGCAGCGACAGCAACAGCTCCGGTCGGGGAGGGGGGGGGCGAAGGGAAGGCAGCCCCCGGTTCGACGGGGGGGGGGTGATGGCTCCCGAACTTTGCTCCTTCCCACCGCCTCGGCCCTGCTTTTGAGCAGGAGTTACCGGCAGGATCCAGCGGAGGAGGAACCCCCGCCGGCGGAGGGGTGAGCGCTTCTGCGGGGACGGGACGGGACGGGACGCGGGGGGAGCGCGGAGGACCCCCTCAACCGGCTCTGTCTCCCCCCATCTTGCACGGGGTACCGTGGAGGAAGAGGGGGGGAGGTTTGGCTGCCGTGTTTGGTCGTGTTCCGAGCGGGGGTGTGTGTGTGTGTTTGTGTGCCCGTCCTCCCGGTTGGTTTTGGCCAGCTCGGATGTTGTCCCCGCCGGTGGCTGGACGGGACCCCCGGTCCCCGGGGTGAGGGGGGGGTTCAGGGGGTGCCCCTCAAGCGGGGATCTCGGGGAAAAGGAGCTTGGGGGTAGGGGGGAGTTGCTGGGCTTGGGTTTAGCTTGGTCTCCCTTCTGCTGGTGGAGAAGTTTGTCTGGTTGAAGGTCCTCCTCCTCTTGGAGCTGGCAGGTGGCAATAGCGGCTGTCCTTGCCCCCTTGCCCACACAGGCTTCCAGCAGACCAGTAAGTTAAAGGGAACTCAGCCCCGTAAACCAGTCCTGCGGTACATAAACCACCCTTCATCCTCATCCTCTTCCTCGGTGAAGAGCAATTAACATGCTGAGTTCTGTACCAAGCACTCTCAGATCCCAGGCATAGACATCCATGGGAGCTGAAGGTGTGTTAAAGCATGTTTATTTTAGCATGGTTTTAGCCCTTTACGGGAAAGAGTTTATTATTGCTGGTTTTTTCAGACAGAGGGCAGAAAATTAAAATAAGTCTCTGAGGCCACTGGCACATCTCGGGACAGTTTTCAAGCTTTCCTCAACCCAGCATCCTCAGTGTTACCTGCTCAGAGGGGATGCTGCCTCAGAGAGCTATTTAATCATTGTTTACAGCTCTTCTTTTCTGAGAATTCATAGTCATTGCATGTTAAAGCAGTATAGCATAACTAGTATAACTAGTATAACTGAGCTTTCTGATCTTTAGCTGTCTCTAGCTTGTTGGGTTCTGTTTGTCTCATAGCATTGTTTTTGTTTTTGAAAACAAGCCTTGCTCAGCTTTTGCCTTGATTGACGTTTAATGACCGCAAATAGCATCGACAGTAATTTCCCTGTGTGGAGGGGGAAAATGTGCCTGTAGAATATATAGTATTGAATAATGTAGTTTCAGTGAATGCTTCTGTAAGCTCAGTACTTTTTCGTTACTTAAAGCTGGAAATAACCATTTCAAATGTCCGTACCGGTAGTGCTTGATCATGTGATTAATCTTTATTCGTGTGAAGAAAAAAAAAATCCCGTTGACTCAGTGGCTCTACTTACATAAGTAAGGAATTCAGTATTTTGATGGTCTCAGAGCAAAGTGTAGTGGTGGTTATTAAACAGATTAATAAGGGGTGGTTTATATTTCGTTCCTTCGAGCCCCCATTATGATTACATAAATAGCACATGTAAAACTATATCTGGGGGGGAGGAATGGGTAAGAAAACGTGTTAATTCCATTTTAAGTTGGTGAGGGAATGATAAGAATATGCCCTCTTAATTAGCTAAAGGAAAGCTTTTCCACGTGTTGTGAGATGTGACAGCTGTGAGTGTCCCTGTCCCCAGTGCTCTGACGGGGAGCAGGGGACACACGGCGTGAATGACTTTGCCCTGACTGAGCAGAAAGGACTTTGCAGCATCTCGTGTTTCACCTGCCTCTATTTGGGGCTTGGCAGGGCATCGGCTGAGTCCCTCCATCAGCTGGTCCTCAGAGAGGTTACAGAGGGCAGCAGGAGCTTGAGGTCCCCTCTTACCCTGGCAGGGTCCTTTCCAGGGCTGGAGGTAGACATCACCAAGGGAAGTGTCCGGGTGAAGAGGAGAGAGCAGTTGGTTCCCTGTGGGGAAGGATGTCCTTAAGCCCTTCTGTGCAAGAGGGATCTTCTGCCTCCACACCCCTGGGAGTCCCTTCCTGGTCAGTCTGTCTGGTTGTGGTCCTCTTTCATCTCACTGGCCCTCCAGACTCTCATCTCCATGAGGAAAACTTCCTGCTAGTTGCATAAATCAGTTATTTTCAGTTGTTTCTTGTCATGGTGTACATCAAGACCTTAATCTATACCTATGACTTGATATTTTTCCATGGATTCATACTCACAATGGTGGGCTCTCCTGACGTGACCGGCCGTATTCTAAACACGACGGGCACGTGCACCTTTATTTCTCTTAATAGAGATTTTGCCTTGTTTTTAAGCAGAGCAGTAACGCGTATCAACAGCACGGGGAGTCTCTCCCTGTAAAAATAGGTTGTTGGTGTGGTGGAGAGCATGGGGGTTTTGAGGGATGCGGTCCCTACGCTTGGCTCTGGCTGGCCACAACGTTGGTGTGCTCTGAATAAGTATTTGGGAGTGTAGACAGTTTGAGGTTACGGGGCTTTTTTTTTTTTTTTTTTCTTGTTGTTCTTCCTGCCGTAGCCCAGAGACTCCGAAGAAAGGGATGCAGGGCAGCAAACATGACATGTCCCGCCGTGGAAAAATATTGGGGTTTTTGAGCCAAGTGGAAATGCTTTTTCAGCTATGTTGACTTAACCGCTGAGTAATAGCAGCACTGCAGCCTGCACCCCCACACAGGCACCGCTGTGCAGTGCCTCTGCTGCTCACAAAATATCAGGAGCCTCAAGACGAGTGACATAATTCTGTCCCCCATGTCTTTGCTCCGCTACAAATTCCTCATTTTTCATCTCCGGCCACCGTAAGTATGGGACAGGTGCTCGCATGGCATGTACTTCTTGGGGCTCTTTTTGTACTGCACCAAGCATCACTTCTCAGAACCTATGGGCTGCAGAAATCTGAAATGGACATTATCTGCCTTTTTTTTTTCTTTTTTTTTTCTTTTGGCATGTCATCAAAACAAGAGCTTGAAGCCTGCTGAAAGTTCAGCAAGTTCACATGGGATTACGCTCCGCAATTATCAATTAGTCAAGTTTCTAGGATAATTTTTCCTGCCCTTGATCTTGCCTTCTTTTATCCGTACTTTGATTGAAATGCCTTTTTTTTTTTTTCCCAACGATGATGCAACTTCCTCAGTTATGAATGAATTCTCTTTAATATCTCAGTAAGTGGTAGCAGTAAATGGTTGGAATAAGCTGTTCAGTGTCTGTATCTGGGTAATATGTGAGAGGCTAATTGATATGAGCTTTAAAAACCACCATCTATATAAGGCTCAGCGCCGGCATCCACTCTGTGCTCATTTTAGGCAAATCTGCATCCAGGATCCCGCCCCTGAAAGTGCCTTCTCAATCTCTGCAGAAGTGATAGCGCTGTGGTGCACTAACATGCCAATAAAAGCATCCTTTTTTTTCATTTCAGATGTCTTCTAGAAACATGGCTGGCCAACACATCCTTCCTCAAGCTTTGTATCAGAGCAATATGCTGAAAGCCATGAAGATTAGAGAGAGGACTCCTGAAGATCTGGTCAAACCCCCCATTGGAGTAATTCACCACTTCAGGACTATGCACAGATACACCATAGAAATGTTCAGAATGTGCCAGTTTTGTCCTCAGTTTCGGGAAACACTTCAGAAGGCCCTGACAGACCAGGCCACCCAGACTTCGCTGGAGCGCCAGAGGAAGCTCAACTGGTGCATGGAAGTTCGGAGACTGGTCCCTCTGAAGACTAATGGTGAGTTGTGAGCTGGTCGTTGCAGTTGCATTAAAAAGGGTAATAGGGAAGAAGCGCCTTTATTAATAGCATCTGAGTTCACGTTACTGAAACAGAAGCGCGCGGCTTTTAACAAGTGGTGCCTTTTAATCTTAGTTTTGTGAATTAAAATTCTTTCCATGTGATGTATTGTCCTGGGGGTGTAGCAGTCCCCAGCCCGCATCACAGTATTGTGAAGAGCCTGAGAATTTCACAGATATTTTCATAATATTGATAACATGTGGCACATCAGAATAAAATGCGAGGTGGGAAAACCTCAACTTGCAACCCATCACCTCTCCATGAATCTGGCTCTGCTGTGTGTCGGCTGCTTCATCAGAAGTGCAGAGACTTCAGATGTTTTGAGTGATGGGGTTGCATTCGTGTGTATATATAGCAGAAGTTAATATCACAGAATCGTAGAATGGTTTGGGTTGGAAGGGACCTTAAAGATCATCCAGTTCCAACCTCTCTGCCATGGGCAGGGACACCTCCCACCAGACCAGGTTGCTCCAAGCCCCATCCAGCCTGGCCTTGAACCCCTCCAGGGATGGGGCAGCCACAGCTTCTCTGGGCAACCTCTTCCAGTGTCTCACCACCCTCACAGCAAAGAATTTCTTCCCCATATCTAATCTAAACTCCCTTCTTTCAGTTTAAAACTGTTCCCTCTTGTCCTATGGCTCCACTCCCTGATGAAGAGTCCCTCCCCATCTCTCCTGTAGCCCCTTTAGAGACTGGAAGGCTGTTATAAGGTCTCCCTGGAGCCTTCTGTTCTCCACACTGAACAAACCCAACTCTCAGCCTCTCTCTTGCCACTGTAGCTGGCAGTCAAGGTTCACTTGCTGATCCAGTTTTAACAGAGGTGCTGGTGGGACCGTCCTGGACTTAGAGCCTCTGGGAACCTGACCTCGGTGGCCCTGGAGTCCACATCCCGCACCCGGCTGGCTCCCTCATCCTTAGCTGCCCCCTTGGGTTTTGCCAGCTCTCTCTGTCCCTCAGGGCTCCCCAGTAACTCCCAACACAGAGTGTACAGTGCCCTTCTCTTTCAAGGGTCAGCGCTGGTTTCAGGACTTGGCTTTGGGGTTGTTTTGTGTGTAAGGTGCACACATATTGCTATAAATGAGAAGGTGCAGCCATAGTGCAAAGATTTCTTGAATAGGGTGCACGCGTCCACAGGGTCTCGAGCAGGAACCTGTTGCACATGACTCTTAGAAGTCGCTGGGTATTTCATTGTTCAGTGGAGGAAAGATGGGGTAATGGCTATGACTTATGGTCATGCAGCTGCAAACAGGATTGGACTCAGGATTCCCTAAAGCTGGGAAGATAGACTGGCACGGTGAGGACTCCAAGAACATGGAAAATATCTATTCTTTGCTCAAGGAGCAGATGACACTGGTTATAGAAACACTGGGTGTGGTGGACCTCCAGCCTTGCTGAAGGCCTTACATTATGTTCTGTGGATGCCTCTTTTCATATCTGTTTTTGTACACATTGCCCTTATCTTTCTAGACCATATTCTTCCTTTTGCTAGTTCTCCTGTATTTCTCAGTCTGATTGCACACAGCCGGGTTGTACAAAAGCTGTAAAAATAGAACCACTGCGTAGATGTCCCTGCCCCGACCTAGAAGACCCTCGTGCTAATGGACACCTCTGTAACTATCATTACCTTCTGGTGGACTTTTGTGGGCTGCCTCTGCACGGGCATAAAATTCTCGTGACTGTAATTAGGCTGGAGATGGTCTAACCTTGACCTTCCAGAAGGACTGGTGGGGCAGGTGGGGCAGGCAAGTGCTTTGCAGGGACTGAGAAGGTAGCGTTGCTCCAAGTGCTGCATCCAAGTGCAGGGTGGTGGAGTCACCATCCCTGGCTGTGTTTAAGGGCCGTTTAGATGCAGTGCTAAGGGATATGGTGTAGGGGATGACTTTGTAGAGTAGGGTAGATGGTTGGACTCGATGATCCCAAGGGTCTCTTCCAACCTAGACGATTCTATGATCTCCAAATCTTCACCCCAGGAGATGCACTCTTAACAGATTTACTAGGAGAATGGACACTGTGTGTAGTTTTTCCCCGGGCCAAAGAGCAGCGGTTTTGGAATCCCCCCCCATCTCCTGTTGATAGGGGTCCTGCAGGGGTTGGTGTTGCCTGGACAGGCCCTTGTTGCTGACATTACTGTATTTGTGGTGATAGATGAGACATGGGTTGTCTCATGACTGCGGGAACGATTTGAGAACTGGGGACTTGGGTTCCCATCCGTGAGCAGGTCTAATGATGCATGAGATGCTAAAATATTGGGGCAGGTTGAGGGAAGACAAAGCAAGGGCCAGGTTTGTGGTGTGTGTGTCCCCCCTTTTACTCCCCCATGTGGCTAATGAACTCAGCTCCAGTTCAGTGCTTTGGGGTCATCAAGTGCACGAGTAGAAGAAGTGGCTTTGGCAACCTGTGGTTCATGCAAAGTAGTCGCAAGGAAGGACCTTTGCAGGAGAGAGAAGAAGGGGATCCCTGGAAGAAGGGACAGAAGCCTGGAGAAGCCCCCCCTGTATTCTCCCAGAAAATAACACAGGGTTGGGTTTTTTTCCTCCCGTGTGGCACCAAAAATATTTTTTAAAGCATTTAGCTGCTTAACCCATAGGTGTGGGAGGAATATATTAGTTCTTTCAGTCAGCCCTGGGCTTTCTTCAGAAAATTCTGGGGCTTTTTTCTAATCAAGGTTGTAATTGTTGAAAACAGAGGAAGTATCTCCTGTAGGATCTTTCGATGTGTATTTTACCTAATATGTGTATGAGTTTGTGGAGTGGCGGGGGTTGGGTTTTTCTTTTTTTTTTAATTTAAAAAAAAAAAAAAGCCCTTTTGAATCACCACACCGTTTCTTCGCAGATGTGTGAATGGAGGATAGAAGGAAAGCAGTAGGAGGTACAAAAATCGAAACAGGTTTTTTTTGAAAAAAAAAAAAGAAAAGAAAAAAAAAATTTAAAAATTCCAGCAGCTATTGGCTGTAGAGATTTCACTTGTATAATGAATCGGCATTCATTCCAGCTCGCCCAGCCACACCTCCCCGGGAAAGTCCGAGGGAGGCTTCGCCGCTCAGCCCGGCGCGCCGCAAGAACAAAAAGTACAACTGTTGCTCAACTGCTGCTCGAGCGGCGCGGGGGAATTCCAAGTGCTGTGTAAGGAATTTTGGGCAGCGCTTCTCAATAAAGAACTGAAAGCGAGCTCTCAGAGAGAGAGAGAGAGAGAGAGGGGGAAAAAAAAAAAAAAAAAAAAAGAAAAGAAAAAAATCTTATCTTTGCTCTAGATTTTTGCAAAGGGAAAATTTTAATGGGATTAATATGTCATCTTTCTTGGTCAGAAGGAAACCCAGAGTCAGTTTTTCTGTCCTATTATGTCGTTCCCTGATTTTTGAATAGGTCTGTTGTAGGTTTTTCTCAGCAGTCTCATAGGAAAAGTAGCAAAAGTGTTGACAAAGAGAGTACTTGAGCTCTTAAATGCATGTAGCGAACTGGGATTAAGTCTTTTGTGTGGGTGCTTTGGGTGGTTTTTTTTTTTTCCCACGTGAGAAAAAATCTAGTAGCTTTAGCATGGTTGATGTCCTCTGTTCCAAGGAAATCACAGCGATTTCTTAGCATTGGGTGAATCTGCTCACCGCTGTAGTAAACACCGGACCTAGTTTTGAATCTGAGGGTGTGACAGTAGTGATTCTTGACATCTCCCTTTCAGGGGAGACATCCTCTTTTGAAGAAGATGGCTAGAGATAGAATTTGAAACCCAGCCACGGGCATATTTTGTCACACCTTTTAATTAAGTTACTTAACTCCTCTGATTCCCACTTTCTTCCCCCCTGAAAGTGCAGAACATCACTTTACTTCCTACCCGTAGAGACGATGTTTTCAATGCAAGGAACATATCTAAATGAAAATAGATTTATTGTGGTTTGCATTTATTTTGTTTTAATTATGTTTATAAAAAGTACCCTCTAAATAAAATATTTAACAGCCCAGCATGCTATCAGCTCTGAGAGGAAGGAAGAGGTGTTCTTGTGATTGCTTTACATAAATCACCTACTCTTCTCTTTCTGTGTCTTTTTTTTTTTCTTTTTTTAATTATTATTATAATAATTCCTTCATCAAGCCCAGCCAAGTGCTAAGCCTTTCGGTGCAGTGCTGGTGAGGAGACATGAGGCTTGGTGTCACTATGGTGTACTCTTAGTGGTTTCCATTCTCTCTACCCTGTGCCATCAGGTGTCCTTGTCTAAGCACTAGTGAATGAGACTTGCACATTGTTCTGTAATTTTAAATTGACTTTGTTGTGTTTAAAAGCTGTTTCAACTGTTTGACATTTGCAGTTGACCCCACAATTCAGTTCTTGCTATCAGTCAAAGTTAAGTAAGATAGATAAGGGGTAGGCTTCACAGAATCACAGAATGATATGGGGTTAGAAGGAACCTCTGGAGATCATCTAGTCCAACCCCCTGCCAAAGCAGGTCCACCTAGAGCAGGTTGCACAGGAACGTGTCCAGGTGGGTTTTGAATGTCTCCAGAGATGGAGACTCCACCACCTCTCTGGGCAGCCTGTCCCAGGGCTCTGCCACCCTCAAAGTGAAGAAGTTCCTCCTCATGTTTAGATGGAACTTCTGATGTTCAAGTTTGTGCCCGTTACCTCTTGAGTGCCCGTTACCATTGCTGAACGACAGCTTAACACCAACCAGTGAAGGGACAAAACCAGCAGAGGGAGGACTTTTGTCCCTTGTGTCTCTGAGCAGAGGGCCCCTTGCTGTCCTCTTGTTAAAACCGTTCTTTTTGAGGCTGAGAGAGAAATGCGCAGGGAATACCCATAGGCACAGTGCAATTCTACATCCCGCATGCCCGTGGGGTTTTATTCAAGTAGCCATTTAAAAATCACGTGTTCTTCCTTTTTTTTTTTGTTTTTTCTGCAGGCGATGGGAATTGCCTCATGCACGCTGCGTCCCAGTACATGTGGGGCATTGAAGATATCGACCTGGTCTTGAGGAAGACGTTGTTCAGCGCGCTCAGGGAGATCGACACACGGAACTTCAAGCTGCGCTGGCAGCGGGAGGCCATTAAATCCCAGGAGTTTGTAGAAACGGGGCTCCACTACGACACCCGGGTAAGGAGGCCTGAGGGAACAGGGCTGCTTTCTGAGCAGCTTGTCAGTGGTGCCTTGCTGATTTTGTTCCCTGTTTTTGGCTCTGTGGATTCGTGCCGTCAGCGGAGAGCAGTAGTCATCTTCCTTTGGAGGAAACGGGACAGCCTGACTGTTGTGAGCTGTTCTGACCTCCGTGTCTTGGAACCGTTGCTGACCAGATGTTTCTTTCCTCAGAACTGGGAGGAAGAGTGGGAATACCTCGTTGAAATGACCTCCCCAGAAACATCGGGGGCTCGAAACAGGCTTCCATATAATGCGCTGGAAGAAATCCACATCTTCATCCTCGCTAACATCCTCAGGCGCCCGGTCATTGTCATTGCAGGTGAGTTGTCCCCACCACAGGTCTCTTTATGGACCGTGTCACTCTGTGCTGTGTTAGTAATCTTATTTCCCTCACAGCTGCTTCCAGGCAGATACGTTTCAGAACTGGGCATTTTCAGCAATTGTTCTAAAACAAAAACCCGGAGTATGTTTTCTCTCGCCTGTAGCACATACTTATATGGGTTTATTTGTGTTTTCTTTATCTTCCCCGGGCAGATAAAGTGGTGAGAAGTTTAGAGTCAGGCTCCAGTTTCGCTCCTCTGAACGTTGGTGGTGTTTACTTGCCTCTCCTTTGGCCAGCTGAAGAGTGCTATCGATACCCAATTGTGCTCGGCTACGACAACATGCATTTTACACCTCTAGTGACTCTGAAGGACAGCGGGCCAGGTATTTTTCAAGTGCCTCGCTTGGTATTTGTGTAACTTCTTCAATATCACCGTGCTGATACAGCATTTGAATATCATCTGGTTTAGGTTTGCATTTCTAAAGTTAAAATAAGAGTAACAAATTCCTTTGGAAGACGTGCTTATGGTGTGAGGAGAAACAGTGTGGACTGTAAATCGGAATAGAAAGTAAAGATTGTCTTCAATATGCTGGTTGAAAGTAAGAGTGCAACTCACCTGCTTCCAGGCTGGGATCAAAGAGTGGCCTCTGCTTCCTTGTGTTCTGGCCTCCTTTACACACCCCATCAGAAGAGAAGAAGCTCTGAAGGCCATGGTCTCACAGCGATGTACTGCTGCCTGGCAGGGATAATGAGATAAATGCTTTGTTGGTTTTAATGTGTCTCTTCTGCATGGATAGCAGTTCTCTGGGTTTAGATTGGGGCATCGTCCCGTGGAAAGGTATAACAAGCTTAAGATCTACAACCCTGCCCACACTGAGAGGAAAATTGCTATGGGGACATTAAAACTCCCGTGGGATGGGGACAGATTCATGGTGCAGATGCGTCTGTGTCCTCCCACAGTGGCACTGTTCAGAAAATGGTTGCTCTTGCTGGCCATTCTCCTGTTTCTCCAAAATTCAGCAGCAGTGGTGACATCTCCATGTGTTGCATCTTGTGGTTACTCCTGCCTGGTAGTATATATATATGTGTATATATATATATATATGCTAATCCCATCTTGTTTCCCCACAGAAATCCGGGCTGTCCCTCTGGTCACCAGTGAACGAGGCAGATTTGAGGACTTGAGCGTGCACTTTCTGACAGACGCGGAGGAGAGGGAGAAAGAGCAGCTGCTAAAAGACTACTTGATAGTGATAGAAATTCCAGTGCAAGGCTGGGATCATGGCACAACCCATCTAATCAATGCTGCAAAGTGAGTGCCGTTCCTTTTTCCTCAAAGTTGTCTTGTTTATGGCGGTGGGAGAAGCCAGGCCACCCCAGTGTGTTCCTTCGGTCCTTCCTTCCTGCCATGGTAGCACCTGTGCTGACGTGCTTTGAAGTGGTATGAGCTCGAGCTAGTCTCAAATTTAAATGCAAAAAACCTCTTCAGACTTAGGAGACTCAAACTAGTCTTTTAGAAGGGGTTAGTTTGGCTGACTGTCAGATTGCACCGGTGGACGGCTGAGAAGTAGTTAAACCCAGGAACGAGTTAGACCAAGCTCTTGCGCTTTATCTGAGGGCACATTGCATAAAAGCACAGCTGGCGTAATTTTGGCTGCCCTGGGGAGAGTACTTGGTGGTACGTTCTCAGGGCAAATGCCTCAACGCCCTGGGCTGTTGCCCTGCGGGCAGGAAGCTGTGGCTGGTGGAGGAACCGGCGTCTGCATCAACCCAACGGTTGAGCATCAGTAACGTGCAGGAGGCAGCTGGTGGCACTCACCGGCTTCTCACATTTAGGGGAGGCTGGAGGCTGTGTCCGCTCAGCTTCCATTGCTACACAGGGAGTGGTGGTTTGGGAGCCTTCAAAACCAAAGTCCTCCTACCCAAAGGATATATGCATACATGAAGAGCAGCAATCCGGGTTCCCTAGTCCCACCACACGGATGTGTTCTTGGGTATTTCCAGTAACGCCAGCTCCTCATCCTCCCAGTTGTGGCACGGTGTGGGGGTATTCCCTGTGGGACAGAGTAGGGATGGTGGGATGGATGGTAGCGTTACACACACCGCACGGAAGCCCCATAGTTGGTTTGAAGAATTCTGCTGGTAGACACAGACCCAACAGGGCAAAACCAGGAGCAGATTTCGTGATAAACCGTAGGAAAGGCTTGTTCTTTGTGTGGGCTGGTGAAGAGGGAGGTCTTCCACTCTAACCTCAGCTCAGCTGAGCGCTGGTCTTCGGAGGAATTCAGGATTGGGGGGGTTTTTCTTTTTGCTTCCGAGAGATTCTCCACATTCTTTGTGCAAGCAGCTCTCAGATAGAAAAGCCTCCCCTAGAAAATCCTTTGAAGAATACCTGTTTAGCATTGCATCAGACAATTTCTTCAGATATGAAAGTCTCCATTTGACATCACTGGACACCTGCCTTTAAAATTATTTCCATTTACAGCAACAGTTTAACATCCTGGATCTTCTAGCTGAGTAATATGGATGTGCATTAAACCTACGTTTCCTCCCCACGCTGCTTATATTTGCCTCCACCCCCACCGTCTACCCTTTTCAAACACTGATGCCGTCTTCCTTTTCTGGCCATCAGGTTAGATGAAGGCAACCTACCCAAAGAAATAAACCTGGTGGAAGATTACTTCCAGCTGGTGCAGCACGAGTACAAGAAGTGGCAGGAGAACGGCGAACCCGCTAGAAGGGAGACCTGCTCCAGGAACAGGCAGGAACTGTCCCTCTCCCAGCTCTCCCTCTTACAGGTGAAATGTGAAACGCCCAACTGCCCTTTCTACATGTCCGTGAACACCCAGCCCTACTGCCACGAGTGCTTTGAGCGGAGGTCCCAGGCCGCCAAAGGCAGAAAGCAGACCTCCAAAGCAGCACCCGAGAAACTGAAGGCATCTGGGTCAGGTTCCTCCTCCCGCGGGGACCTTTGCCAACCTGGGGGATGGACGTCCGAAGAGCCCGTGACAGGCCCTCGCTCCGCACCTCCGACTGCTCCGAGCCTTTTCCTGTACAGCGAGACCACGGCCATGAAGTGCAGGACACCAGACTGCCCCTTTACCTTGAACGTGCAACACAACGGGCTCTGCGAGCGCTGCTACAACTCCAGGCAGCTCGGTCCGTGCAACAACTTGGACGACGGGAGGCGTTTAGACCATGCCACGTGCAAGGTGTGCCGTCAGAAGGCCAACAGGACCTTCAACGGCACGTGCAGCGCTTGCTTCAAAAGGACTACAGAGCACCCTTCGAGCGGCAGCCCCGCTTTCCTGCCCACATGCCATCAGAGGTCCACGTCCGACCCCTCCCAGATCTCCCAGAGCCTCCTCCAGCACTCCTGCCACCAGCCTCCCAACATCCATGGTGAGGAACCCCCGCCGGCCGTCCTGCCTCCCGAGGAGAAGAGGGGAGGCAACCTCTGCAGGAAACCCGGCTGCAAGTTTTTTGGGACGGCGCAGAACGAGGGCTTTTGCACACTCTGCTTCTTCGAGTACAGGGAAAACCACGGTAAGTGGAGAGGGGCTGAGCTTTGGCACACTTTGGTTGCAGATGGGGCTCCTGGAGCTATGAAGCTCTCCGTGCTCCACACTGTTTCCGTCACCCCCTGCAGAAGCAGCGGTCTGAGGAGAAGGTGCTTTTTTTGTCCCTTAACAGTGTAGGAAATCTGTGAAGTCTCTTTTGAAGCCTCCTGTTGGCTTTCAGGGGAGCAAAACTAGCTCAAGGTAGGGTGGGTTGTGATCCCTCCCCACCATTCACTGCAGTCATGGTTTGGGGTGAATTTTCTTCACAACTAGATGAATTGTGGGAGTTGGTGAGGGAAATGCTATAGTATAGAGAGAGAGAGGGTACTGTGTCTGGTTTTGTGCTCCCTGGTTCAAGAAGGACAGGGAACCACTGGAGAGGGTACAGCAGAGGGCTACAAAGATGATGAGGGGCCTGGAGCATCACCCTTACGAGGAGAGGCTGAGGGACTTGGGTCTTTTTAGTCTGGAGAAGAGAAGGCTGAGGGGGGATCTGATCAACACCTATAAATACTTAAAGGGTGGGTGTCAGGAGATGGGGCCAGTCTTTTTTCAGTGGTGCCCAGGGACAGGACAAGAGGTAACGGGCACAAACTTGAACATTGGAAGTTCCACCTGAACATGAGGAGGAACTTCTTTCCTGTGAGGGTGGTGGAGCCCTGGAAGAGGCTGCCCAGGGAGGTGGTGGAGTCTCTGTCTCTGGAGACATTCTCTGGACACGTTCCTGTGCAACCTGCTCTGGGTGACCCTGCTCTGGCAGGGGGGTTGGACTGGATGATCTCTAGAGGTCCCTTCCAACCCCATATCATTCTGTGATTCTGTATTGATGCTACTGGCAACCCGTTATGTTAACAAGGCTTCTAAAAACCTTGGGATGAATCTGGTGGTGTGTATCCATTATGGATGTAACGGGTACAACACTCTGGAGTAACTACTGAAGTCACCTTGATAAGCAGAGCAAGCAGAAGCTGACTGTAGATAAAATGTGCTTGTATTTTGGAGTAATTTAAGAGCATATTGTTACAATCTACCTTGAAATCTTTCTTGGTGGTATCATGTGCCTGCGTGCACACGTGTGTTTAATGGCAGGGCTTCAAAAATGTAATAGCCTGTGAATAAATCGCAGCATGAAATCTTCATCTCTCCTGCTACCGCCCTGTTACGCAGGCAACGAGCCCTTGGGTAGAGAGGGTGAGAGGCAGAATTATTGCAGATCTTTTCAGGCTGTTGCATTGCTGACAAGTCTGCCAATGCTGTGCTTCTCACATACTTTCAAATTAGGCAACTTGTACGCCAGCCTGCAATAGCTTGTTTTGTAGCATTGCTCACAGTGAGAATGTTTTCCTTCTGCTTGTGGAATATGTAAGATTGCTTCATGTGACTAAAAGCCATAAGACTTCTTTTTTTTCCCATTAAGCCCTGTGCTGCTGGGCTTTCGTTACCCCATGCGCCTGAAATGGGGGAGGCCGAAAAGGAAGTGTCAGGGTAGGTCACAGATGACATGCAGAAGCCAAAGGTGAAACCCTTCTTGACTTCAGCAATATCTAGTTTTCCCACTGAGGGCAACTTTTTTCCCAAATCAGCTCTTTCAACATCTTCTGACATGAAAATCAGGCTGTATTAGCTCCCTTCTTCATGGAACATGGAGGAAAGTGCATCAGCTGAGGGGTCTCAGCATTGTCCAAAACCCATTTTTTGAGGCTGGTGGATTATTTTTTATTAATATTATTTGGGGATTTGTGGTTTTTTTTTTAAACTGTGGAATTTTTCATAGTTGCTTTGGGTCGCCAGAGGAACTGGGCACATTCAAACTCTTCCTATCCTACCTTTGCCTTACAGACAGCACTTTGCTACGCCACCAGAGGAGATCTCAGAGGAAGTCCTCATCGGCAGCAGCTCAGCTGGGAACCTCCGCTGCCGCCTTCCGTAACAGCGTGTCCTGCCAGCGGCGTGACTGCGGCACCCTGGGCAGCACGATGCTCGAAGGGTACTGCCAGAACTGCTTCATTAAAGCCCAGAACCAGCGGTTTCAGGAAGCCAGGAGGACAGAAGAACAGCTGGTGAGACAGCCAGAAGTAAGTGGGAACTTCTCAAAAATCTTCTTCGTGTTTAGTGCGGCGTGTTTTTCCCTTGTGAGAACCACTCTCTGGATGCTCACTACAGAATCCTCAACTGACTGCATCCTGAGTATCACAGAAAGACAAACGTAGAGTTATTTCATGATTTTTTTTTACCTGCTGCAACTGGGCAGCATTTCTAAAATCCATAGAATGTAGAATCATTGAGGTTGGAAAAGACTCTTAAGATGGAGTCCCACTGGAAACCTAACACTGCCAAGTGTTCTCAGTTTCGGGTTATCATGGCCATGTTGAGTTTTAGCTCAGCTGGGATGTCACCAGCAGTTTCAGTGGAAGCAATATATATGCACGTTCCTGTGCAACCTGCTCGGGGTGACCCTACTCTTGCGGGAGCAGGGTTGGACTAGATGATCTCCAGAGGCCCTTTCCAACCCCATATCATTCTGTGATTCTGTAATTGGGTCAGCAGTTGGTTTGTTTGCTGCTCGGGGAGAGATATTCATTCTTACTCTTAGAGCTCTGCCACTGCATCATGGGGTTTGGTCCACTTCATGTCGCCTTTTTCGTTGAGCCCATTATAGATTTATTTTTTTATTCCCTTTTTTTAAAAAAAAAAAATTGGTTTGTTTTGTCCTTTTTCAAATCGAGAGTTACCAAAGATAAAAACCCATTTATTTTTTTTTTTCCTAAGAAATGACAGAATTTGGGATTTTCTTTGGTAAAGCCCAGTTTGACTCTTGGTATAGTACTTCTCAGAAGCAGCGCGTCTGCGACAGCTCCCAGCGGTTGCCTCTACAAACCATGAGCAGGAGTTGAAAGTCAATAAATGAAAAGCCACTTGTTGCTGCCGGCATGACGACTGACCGATGTGTTTTAACGTGGTGGTTTGTTTGTTTTTTTTGTTTTGTTTTTTTCTTTCAAGAGAACGGGACAGCACAGAGATTTGCCGCGAGCGGCGTTGAGTAGCCAGAAGAGACAATGTGCTGTGGCTTCGTGTAGAAACAACCTGGCCAGCAGAAGTGATGACTTGTACCCGGAGTGCCAGCGCCTCCTCGGTGGGCAGCTTCCAACCTCGGGGGGTACCAGGGACCCCCCTGCGGAGGAACCCCCGAAGCAACGCTGCCGAGCCCCTGCTTGCGACCACTATGGCAATGCCAAGTGCAACGGCTACTGCAACGAGTGCTACCAGTTCAAACAGATCTATGGCTAGCAGAGGGGAGGAGCTGGGACACAACCAGAAAGCCAGACCAGCTACTTCTTTCACTCAAACGGTGCTATGTCCGAAACACTTAACAGTCCTGGGAGCGGGAGGGCCCAGGGGGCTGGGGTGGGGAGGGAAATATAAGCTGCCTGCTCATCTTTGTGTTTATTTCCCTGTCATGGGAATCAACGTCTACTTCCTCTAAACACTGCGTACAAGGACTGCTGAGAAGGGCAGGTTGCCTTCTGCACAGAGCTGTCGTTCGTTGACTAAGCTCCTACAATGCCGTATTTAATTCTTGGACTTCCCAGGAGGAAGTGTGAAGCATTTGAATCCAAAGAACTTCCCGGTTCTGCCTCTTTTTTGCTTTTTTTCCCTCAAAACCTCCCCCTGCTCCCGGCCGAGGAGCCGCAGCTACTGTTGGAGGTGCAGGAGCTCTTTGTGTTTGCCTGCACCCGTCAGAGGTGAGTCTTTCCTGAGAGGGATCCCCCAGGACAGGCTGATGTCTGGAGAGACTTACTTTGGGTCCTTGCTGGTGGTCTTACAGAGCTCATCAAGGCAGGAGGGACCTCCCGTGGGTTCTGTGTCTGCAAGAGCCCTGTGCAGGAGCTCTTTGTGTTTGCCTGCACCCGTCAGAGGTGAGTCTTTCCTGAGAGGGATCCCCCAGGACAGGCTGATGTCTGGAGAGACTTACTTTGGGTCCTTGCTGGTGGTCTTACAGAGCTCATCAAGGCAGGAGGGACCTCCCGTGGGTTCTGTGTCTGCAAGAGCCCTGGGAGAACCACCACCAGACACAGGACCAGCGGTGGTCTGCTCCCTTAACCAGCATTTAGGTCCTTTCCCAAATCCCAAGGCAGCTGGAAAGACAGGTGATGAGAGAAGCAAATCTCATGAGCTTGTGCGTGGAATGAGAAAACTGAATCCTGCCACTCCCCTCTTACAGGGAAGGAATTGCCTCCAACAGACCAAAAAATACCCCAAAAGCCCTTCATCTTCAGCTTCAGTTCTGAAACCAGAGCAGCTCTCTTCTCTTGCGTTGTAACTGCTGGGAATACCTGTGCTGCTGTTCGTACCCTCCCTCCCCATTCCTGTCACACTCCTCTCTGCTGTTACCCTTCATGCGATTTCTGTTGCCCTGCAAACAGCCTGGAGCTCAGTGACAGAGTGCTTTAGGGTCAAGGTTTTGCTCCTGGAGTTCCTGCATCCACTTCTCAGTCTGCCAGACTTTTCTCTAGCCACCTTGCCTTCACCGTGGTACCTGCTTCTCTCTTCTCCTTTCACACCTTGTAAGTTTTCAGCCTCTGTTTTGCTGCTATGGTTTTGGAGGTGGTACCTCTTCTTAAGCCGCTTCTGGAGTTTAAGATCTTTTTCTAGTTATTAAAAAAACAGTTTTTAAAAGGAAAAAAAAATTTAAATAACTCATGACTTATTTCTGTTAAATTTTATATATTTTGTGAACCTTAATGTGAACATATGTTTTATTAAGATATTTATATTATTTGAAACAATGCAACTTTTGAAATTTGCACAGCCAGGATTATTTTTTTTTTTTACATATATTTACTCGTGTTGAAATTTGCCAACTTAAATGTATAATTGAAAAACATTCTCTGATATAAAGAAATAAATTATTGAAGGATTGACTTTGCTATTTTGCATTGATGGGAGAGGGCACAGTTGAGTGTGAGACACCCACTGAAGAGAGCATTTCTTCAGGACCTCCATTCAGCATGTTACCAAGTGCTCCCTGGTTCAGGTGGTGTAGCCAGGTGTTTTGAGGAGGTGATAACTTGCTGTAAGTCTCTGCATATTCCCATCTTGTGTCATTGTCCTCTCACAAAGAGCTCTTGGTACCGTGGGAGACCCACACAGTGTGCATGAGTTTGCTCCTGGGGGTGCGGTGTAGCCTCAGTCCCCAGAACTTTGGGTGTGGGAGAGTGAGGATGGTCAGGACCAGGCTGAAAGAGAAGCTAAGCGTAGGATGACTTGACTTTGCTTTCTTCATTCATCCATCAGCTATGCTAGGGATTCCCAACTGATGTTGCTTGAGTGCCACCTTGGGTGGTGGTGATGGTAGTAAATGACCCCCACCTCTGCCCAGCCATGTGTGCAACCCAAAAGGGCACGGGCAAGCCCACCTTCCCTCACCAGGGGCAGCAGGGAAGCCCCTCACCTTTTGGTCTTGGTGTCTGGGTTGCTCGATAGTTCCTGAAAAGCAAGTTGCCAACTGCTACTTGAAAAGGTACTTGGGCTACATCAAAAAAAGTGTGGCCAGCAGGTACAAGGAGATGATTCTGCCCCTCTCCTCTGCTCTGGTGAGGAGTATCCCACCTGGAGTATGGTGTCTAGCACTGGAGTCCTGAAGACAGGAAGGACATGGACCTGTTGGAAAGGGGCCAGCAGAGTGCCACGATGATGAGAGGGCTGGAGCATGTCTGCTGTGAGGACAGGCTGAGAGAGTTGGGGTTGTTCAGCCTGGAGAAGAGAAGGCTCCAGGGAGACCTTAGAGCCCCTTCCAGTCCCTCAAGGGCTACAGGAGAGATGGGGAGGAACTTCTTTCCTTTGAGGGTGGCAGAGCCCTGGAACAGGCTGCCTAGAGAGGTGGTGGAGTCTCCGTCTCTGGAGATACTCAAAACCTGCCTGGAAACATTCCTGTGCAACCTGCTCTAGGGGAACTGCTTTGGCAGGGGGGCTGGACTAGATGATCTCCAGAAGTCCCTTCCAACCCCATGTGATTCTGTGACACCCTCCTTCCCCTTTCTTTGCAACTCATGCAATTCACGTGCCCACCCGATTCATCCAGCTTCTGCACCAGGCGGACACCTCGGGGCTGGAAGAGCAGGCAGAGACCGGGAGGGATGTCTCCACCAGGAGATGGAGGCAGCCCACAGCATCCAGCCCCTGTGTACTGAAAAGGCAGAGCCTCCGTTGTGACACCTTCAGTGTTGGCGGTGCTGCTTGACTGCACCTTCTGCGGAGAAGAAGGGTTTCAGATGAAATGCCCTAGATCCCACTGATTTTTCTCTGATAGCTTCTCATAACCCTGGTCACATGAGGCTTGTCGCATTCTGACGCTCCTATGTAAATGTGTGCCCAGCCTGGCTCTTGTGATTTACTTGTGTGGGAACATTAAATTTTTCAAATTTTTCAAATACTTTGGTATTTCCCTCATGTCCTTCGGGGATTTTGACCCTCTGATGCTTTCTGCTCTTTGCCCAGACACCTCGTCAAGTTCATGTATTTTTTTCCTTCCTCTTTTGCAAGAGAGAACTTTTATTTGGATTCTCCCTTTTTTGGTGACCACTTCTGGAAGTCTCTTTGCTGACAGAGTGCCACGATGATGAGAGGGCTGGAGCATGTCTGCTGTGAGGACAGGCTGAGATACCCCAAAAGCCCTTCATCTTCAGCTTCAGTTCTGAAACCAGAGCAGCTCTCTTCTCTTGCGTTGTAACTGCTGGGAATACCTGTGCTGCTGTTCGCACCCTCCCTCCCCGTTCCTGTCCCACTCCTCTCTGCTGTTACCCTTCATGTGATTTCTGTTGTCCTGCAAACAGCCTGGAGCTCGGTGACGGAGCGCTTTAGGGTCAAGGTTTCGCTCCTGGAGTTCCTGCTCTCCATCTGCCAGACTTTTCTCTAGCGACCTTGCCTTCACCGTGGTACCTGCTTCTCTCTTCTCCTTTCACACCTTATAAGTTTTCAGCCTCTGTTTTGCTGCTATGGTTTTGGAGGTGGTACCTCTTCTTAAGCCGCTTCTGGAGTTTAAGATCTTTTTCTAGTTATTAAAAAAACAGTTTTTAAAAGGAAAAAAAAATTTAAATAACTCATGACTTATTTCTGTTAAATTTTATATATTTTGTGAACCTTAATGTGAACATATGTTTTATTAAGATATTTATATTATTTGAAACAATGCAACTTTTGAAATTTGCACAGCCAGGATTATTTTTTTTTTTTACATATATTTACTCGTGTTGAAATTTGCCAACTTAAATGTATAATTGAAAAACATTCTCTGATATAAAGAAATAAATTATTGAAGGATTGACTTTGCTATTTTGCATTGATGGGAGAGGGCACAGTTGAGTGTGAGACACCCACTGAAGAGAGCATTTCTTCAGGACCTCCATTCAGCATGTTACCAAGTGCTCCCTGGTTCAGGTGGTGTAGCCAGGTGTTTTGAGGAGGTGATAACTTGCTGTAAGTCTCTGCATATTCCCATCTTGTGTCATTGTCCTCTCACAAAGAGCTCTTGGTACCGTGGGAGACCCACACAGTGTGCATGAGTTTGCTCCTGGGGGTGCGGTGTAGCCTCAGTCCCCAGAACTTTGGGTGTGGGAGAGTGAGGATGGTCAGGACCAGGCTGAAAGAGAAGCTAAGCGTAGGATGACTTGACTTTGCTTTCTTCATTCATCCATCAGCTATGCTAGGGATTCCCAACTGATGTTGCTTGAGTGCCACCTTGGGTGGTGGTGATGGTAGTAAATGACCCCCACCTCTGCCCAGCCATGTGTGCAACCCAAAAGGGCACGGGCAAGCCCACCTTCCCTCACCAGGGGCAGCAGGGAAGCCCCTCACCTTTTGGTCTTGGTGTCTGGGTTGCTCAATAGTTCCTGAAAAGCAAGCTGCCAACTGCTACTTGAAAAAGTACTTGGGCTGCATCAAAAAAAGTGTGGCCAGCAGGTCCAAAGAGGTGATTCTGCCCCTCTCCTCTGCTCTGGCGAGGAGTACCCCACCTGGAGTATGGTGTCTAGCACTGGAGTCCTGAACACAAGAAGGACATGGACCTGTTGGAAAGGGGCCAGCGGAGTGCCACGATGATGAGAGGGCTGGAGCATGTCTGCTGTGAGGACAGGCTGAGAGAGTTGGGGTTGTTCAGCCTGGAGAAGAGAAGGCTCCAGGGAGACCTTAGAGCCCCTTCCAGTCCCTCAAGGGCTACAGGAGAGATGGGGAGGAACTTCTTTCCTTTGAGGGTGGCAGAGCCCTGGAACAGGCTGCCTAGAGAGGTGGTGGAGTCTCCGTCTCTGGAGATACTCAAAACCTGCCTGGAAACATTCCTGTGCAACCTGCTCTAGAGGAACTGCTTTGGCAGGGGGGCTGGACTAGATGATCTCCAGAAGTCCCTTCCAACCCCATGTGATTCTGTGACACCCTCCTTCCCCTTTCTTTGCAACTCATGCAATTCACGTGCCCACCCGATTCATCCAGCTTCTGCACCAGGCGGACACCTCGGGGCTGGAAGAGCAGGCAGAGACCGGGAGGGATGTCTCCACCAGGAGATGGAGGCAGCCCACAGCATCCAGCCCCTGTGTACTGAAAAGGCAGAGCCTCCGTTGTGACACCTTCAGTGTTGGCGGTGCTGCTTGACTGCACCTTCTGCGGAGAAGAAGGGTTTCAGATGAAATGCCCTAGATCCCACTGATTTTTCTCTGATAGCTTCTCATAACCCTGGTCACATGAGGCTTGTCGCATTCTGACGCTCCTATGTAAATGTGTGCCCAGCCTGGC